ATACGTAAAACGTGGCCCAACCATCTCAGTTGATGAGGATTCGCAACCTCATCAACTGATTTACCATCATTCCCTAATACCCTGCATCTAACCTCACTATTACTTACCCGGTGATCCCAGCAGATGCGTGCAATATTTCTAAGACATCTGTGGTCAAATACTAGTAACCTACGAGTATCTTCTACTCTTAATGGCCATGTTTCACAACCGTAAAGTAGAACAGAGCGAACTTCTGCGCAGTATACTCGTCCTTTAATTGATAGACGGATATCTCGTCTTCGCCATAGGTGACTTAAGTAGGCAAAAGCCAAACGAGATCTTTGAATAAATGCAGATATTTCGTCCGATACCAACCCATTAGGGCTGATCAGACTTCCAAGATAAGCAAAGTTGTCGATGTGTTCGACTACTTCACTCCCTATTCTTAGTTCAGGTGTTGACGCAGACCAGTCCTGGAGCAACTATTTACATTTAGAGGGGAAGAAACGCATCCCAAACATCCTTGCATTGTTACTCAGTGCTACCAAAAGAATCTGCATTTTATTAGCGTCTTCACCAAACATGACTATGTCATTTGCGTATTCTCAGTCGATAAGTAAACCTGGTGGTAGAAGATCAATTCCAGAAAATTCAGTCGATGAAAACGTTCGTCTCAGCAGTAGGTCTATAATGAAGTTAAACAAAAAGGGGGATAGTGGACAGCCTTGACGGACACCACTTGAGGTTGTAAAATCAGATGACAGTTCGCCATAAGCTCTCACTCGACTGGTAGTGTTCGAGTAAAGAGTCTTCACAAGGTTTATGTACTTCTCAGGTACACCTTTCAATGACAGACACTGCCACAGAACCTCTCGGTCTACAGAGTCAAATGCTGCTTTCAAGTCAAGAAAAACTATCATTGTCGGACGCCGATAAGTATCCTAGTGTTCCAAGATCTGACGAATAGTGAATATGTGGTCGATACTCACTGGATAGTAGTCAGCATCATGTTGTCCTCAGTGATAATACACTTTACCAATATGTGGCTAACAATTATTTGAATCTTTGAAGTAGTAATAACTCTATCAGTTGATTATGTCTTGTTGATTAGAACTTGTAAGCATAAAACCTACTTTTAGAGGTTCCTATGAATTAGTACCATCTACGCTTATTTGTACTCCGCCTATTTAAGCCTTGTTTATTATTTTGTTACCCTCCACCCTATGTCAACTTTTTCATGTGATCTTTTAAGGTAAATCGAATATGAATGTTACCAACAGATTAGATTTCCCTGTCTCTAAAGTGTCCGTACATTTTTTACTGTCTATTAATCTGGTACCGATTGCTTTTTGAGAAATGGTTCAGCTAAAAAACTGACGGTACATTAAGAAGTCTTCACAAATTCAGTGGTTAAAATTTATGAAATCTCCAGGTGCGAACACTTCGGTTGCTAGAGCACATATTTGGACAACCTTTCCCATAGTTTGGAAGATATAACAGTTTATCTATAAATGTTGAAAACCTATAAAAACTGCATCCGCTGTAAAGTTTTACATACACGGAACAAGTAAAGAACGGGAAAGTGTGATTTGCTAAGGAGGTAAGTGCTAAGCACAGTTACACGTGCTGAAATATCCAGCTACTAGAGTTTAGCAAATGTAATATCAACTTATTTATTTATTCATTTAAACACATAAATATTGGTATAAGGAAGCACCAGATAAATATGCGCCTCACAAATCTCATTCGATTTGTGTGAGGGCTGTGATACTACCCAGGTGCCCAAACTGAAGCAGGTGATTTTCTTAGGGGGCCACACCCGGAGCCTTTGACCGAAAGATCTGATTCACAAGGCAGTGGAGCATCGTGAGGAGATGAAGTCCCATGGGAGCCAGTGATCAACGATTGATTCGTACGCCATTTGTTCCCTCAGGATACTGGAGCCCACATGCACCATTGGTTTGGAATGAGGGTTTTCCAACTCCCCTAGGTGGATCCTCCACATCCACCAACCCGGTTAGAGCGCCGGACATTCGCTTTTCGTCCTCTCACTTTTGTGAACAACACCCCCGCCACGAGAAGGCAGTGAGTAGAGCTTCCCTGGCGGGGGCTATAAATTTGCTGGCCATGTGAGAGCATTTCGAGAGGGAGAGCGGACTCTCCCCACTCTCGGCCGTACCAGGGCATTTGGGGTATAGCTCAGTGGTAGAGCATTCGACTGCAATATCAACTACAAACATTTTAATAGTACTAGTTACTGCAATCTAAATGAAAAGTTTACTGTTTTCCAGACGCGAAACAAGCACAAATTTGTATCAAAACATAAGACAAAACCAGTCGATAAATATTTTTATGGTGCTTAGTCACCTATATTACTTGAACCAACAGCTGACATTTTAGTTTGCGTAGCGTAGTTCACAGAATCAGATATATTACAGGATTCGACCACAACAATTAGACCAAGAAAACTGGTAAACTGTAGTTGTAATATTGGCGTATAAGCTTACTTGATGATATGCCTGTAAATACACAAACTATCGGATAAAAGTTGAATGATAGTGTTCAACACTGACGAACAGTGCTATAAGTCAACACACCACTTCAATTAATAATACTGATATAGTTTCATGAAGATATTGATTAGCAATTTACAACGTTTAGAAGTTATGTAGGATAGGCGTTTAGAATGTAAAATCCGTTAAATGAAGCTGTCAGTGAGAGAATTCCAGTTAATAATTCGGTATGTGAAGCAAAACACGGGGTTAGGCAAACTGAACGTAGTCATATGAACTATATGTGTGGCCCAATATATTAAGCAGGATCAAGGAGAATAAAAGACAGGGGCAAGTACATGTAACGTGAAACCAAATGTAAGGTTACAAACCACACTAGGATAAAAGTGAAGCATAATAGCATGATTTTCGTCTAACTGCACCGCACTTAAAGGGGAGCATCAAAACAGATGGGCGACGGGTATTCCATAAAATTACCAATAACCATAATCTTATGCATATAAGAGAATTTCTATACAATGAGAAAACTCACAGTTTTGCGGCGATTTGACCGCGTTAGCTTGGTTATACCAACCAGGTTGATTAATTTTTATGTTAATAATAAATATCCCAAACGGCATATAAATCCACGCACTTTTGTCTACCTAAAGAGACTCAAAAATAACCTCCAGGAGCTATTCAAGTAATTACATTCAGACAAATTTTCGAACTGAGCGGCAAGTATTTTACGACCACTCATATTTCAAGGTTAAACAATCCAGTTTTTACTGGCTAACTTCTTATTTGTTTTCTATGTCTTCATTGGTTGGCACGTTTACAAGGTTAAATTGTAGAGCTGTGTCGTCATTTCTGAAGACTATTTTTTGAAATGTTTTATGAACTAAGGCACCAGTCTCTGAAGTATGGTTCGTATCAGTTTCATTATCAGCTCCGATTTTAAGATTAATTTACCGACTGAAACTAGCAGAAATGAAAGCCTTAGGACTTTAAGTAATTCATGAATTTTCTGATTTTTTGTATTTTCAGTTACCACCTTTAATAGTTTTAAGGAGTTATCTTATCTGAAAATGTATACCTTTCACACTGACTTCATGATGTCGGTATTATAAGTCCGAAGATTTCGATCTCTTAAAACAATAGTAATTAGGTAAAAGGAACTTGCACCAAAAACGATGTGTCAGACAAGGTAAAAAGTATATTTCCTTCAAGAAACCTAAATATGGTAAAGGAATGTAGAGATTAAAATGAACTCTAGCTAGTCCATCACTAATCACTAAGTCAGTTATCCTCCTGAATCCTTTAATCGTATTCAAATAAAATAGAGTTCCATGACCTATTTTACTACACAAGTAACGATTTCTCACAAACGCTTCTCGGTCTTCATTTGTGAGAATCGAATTAATATTCAAATAAGTAGTTTCATATATATTAAAGCGGTTATTTATTAGTGATAGTGGATGGGAGTCGCACTATATCGCAAATGGAATACAGTCTAAATATGTGGACCATTCGATTCCCAGCCAGCAGCTCAATAACAACGTGCTCATCACAAGAAGCTACAATTCACTGTTAATCCTCATTTAATATCGTAATTGTACAGGGTTGAGAAATCTGAAACTAAAATGAAAAACCCATAAAGTGCTTCAATTAACTTCTATTTCAAAGAGGCTATACTTTCTGTGGTTAATGAGCCTGTTGTATTTCTCAAGTTTAATTACTCTCCAAAGTAAATGCCAAAAATCTCTTGTATGTCAAAATTATAAATAAAAAAATAAAACATTAACAATGATTGACACAGTAAATCTCTTTGTAGATTATTAAAGATTAATTCAAAGAGAATAAATGATATGAAATTGTTGGTATGCCAACAAACAGCAATATGATTGAAATAATTAAATTATATCTCCTACTTCTTCATTGAATATTGATAATAGAAATAAAAATAATTATTCGAATTTTTATTAAATACATGATAGTAAATAAAATGCTTTAAAATTGCTTGCCTATGTTTTTTTTCTTCACTTCGACTTATGAATTTGTGATTTAGTTAGTTAGTATTAATTGAATAAACAAAAACGAAATACTTGAACTTATAGACCTCGAGAATTTCAATTGAAAAAGTGTTTTGTAAAAAAATACGATACAATGAAACTATTTTAAGAACTAATCCCAACTTAGTAACTCTATAGTGGTTCATGTACATGTTTTGCTTGATGTAGATGCTTAAAAATATCAGCTTGCTATTTGTTTCAAAGATGAAAAGGAATGCTTTTATGCATCATCATGTGGCTGGTTTTTATAAATACACTAGTTAAGTGATCTGTCATTCATGTTGCTTTACAAGGTATACAGATCTTGAATATATGCAAGTAAATTATGCGTAAACCCAACATAGGAATTCATGAACTTATTGGTCGAACACAACCTACAATATTCCTTTTAAAATCAGTAACGATAGCGAACTGGTCATAATAAAATAGTTAAAATCAATTAAGTCAATAGCTTTACCTCTTCTTCTTTTCTCCAATCGATATCTTCATCTGTATGTGGACCCATTGAATCGTTCATTGAATCGACTGACGCTAATGGAGGCGGTGAACAACTTCGAGCTATTTTGAACGTTTGCGTTCCAAGACGAGGTCTTCGTCTAACTACAGCAGATGCTGTATTTCCTGTTGATGAAGACTCTCGGACTGAACGACGTTTTTGATAATGATGACGTTGTTGTGACCTGAGAATTGGAGCTTCATTACAAGTTAAATTTCTCATCGAGCCTACTCGATATCCAGTTAAACCATCAACCACTTGATAACGTAATCTTCTGAGTCTTAAAGAGACTTGGTTTCGCGCTAAGAAAAATATAATGAAGTTAAACAGTCAAATGAATGATTAATCTAAATTAGAGTGTTTTTTTCACATTATTTTAGTGATAATCATGTAAACACTTACAGCGAATCTGCTCGACGACATCTTCATGATTGAGATCAATGGCCAGAATACCATTCACCTGTAAGAGAAGCAATAAAACAGACTGATAAGCTGATTGTTCAATTGTTAATGTGTGAAATAAAAGAAATATGCGCTGGCTAAGATAGAAATCACGAAAACTTTGTATTCTCCAAATTTAATTACATGAATCAACATTACCTATCAATAAAAATGTGATCAATAGATTAAGATGACATTTAGACGTAAAGACTTAACACACCACCTTTGTCCAGCGATTGTCTATATCCTTTACGTGTGTTACCTATTTTTATATATACATACGGTATTTTTCTTATGATGACTCATACAGTCACCATTATTTTTGTAGAAGTATTGTTTTTTTTGTTTTGATTGCCTGATTCATCAAGTCAAAAGAACAAAAACAGATGAGTAACAGAATGTTATGGAACTCAGTATATATGCCACATAAAACAGTGATTTAGTGTAATGATAGAATTGCTAATTATTTTCGATTGTCTTCAGTTATAACTGTCAATTTTGGTGTTTGACCGCAGTTTCTTGAAAAAAAAAGCTTGATCCAGTTAGCCGAGAGAGACCTTAGAATTTTTAAATTCGATGTAAATAAAATAAGTAAAATAATTAACATATCGTAGTGATTAGTACATTAGACACTTTATCATTGTATATTGGAAGCGAAGATTAGTGAATCAATAAACATTAAGATGCTGTTGACACATTCATTCTGGATTTTACTATTAACCACTACTTGGAAGATAGAAAACTGAATGGTCAATTTTTAAGGATAAAAATTTTTTAATTAATACATGGTTCATATCAAGTAACTCAATAAGCATTAGTTAAGTGCAACATCAATATTAAATAGACAATATTTTCATTTTTATGGTTTCTTCAGATGTACACTATATATGTATATATACTAATTAATTTCGAAGATTACTGATCAATCCAACATTTTGAAGTGTTTACTATAAATAAAATCACTTAAATATGTATTTATCTTACTACTTCGATGAGAAAAACATCTTAAGGTATCGTTATATTTGTTAATGGTAAAAAATTTATATAGTTTACTTCACAGTGTTACAGAAGTAACCTATCAAAGTGAGATATATTTACTGAGGTTGGACTAAAGAAAAATCTTTTTCCAATAATATAAATGTTCATTAATTCAAAGAAGAATAGTAATAAAGGAATCTAGCTTCTTAGATTATTCACAAACTTTTCATTTTAATAATTAATTTGTAATAAAAGATAGTAGATATAGTCATAATTATGAGAGACCTTCCTTCTGTTTTAACATGCTTAAACGTGTACATTTTTAATATTTGGCAATACATATTGTTTAATGTTATTTGTCGAAAAACATATCACTTGGCAAAATCAGTAGGTAGGTGTAATTGAAACCGATTAAAATCTATATCAGGTAAATGATATTGACTTTGATGTTATGTTAACTTCAGTAGATTGAGACCAAGTACATTGTCACCATTATTTCACTGAACAATTAATTTTCAATCTTACAACTTAGTATTTTTTTAAATGTCAACTCGTTTGTTCAACTTATCAAAATCTGTAATAAAGATTAGATCATTTTAAATAATAATAAACTTCGTCAAAAAATCCTTAAATATGCCACGAAGATAACCAAATCAGCTGTTGAAAGTGAAATTCAGCATTAACTATTTATAGATTTTGGATAACAAACTGATCTTAGTTATATGATTATTGAAAACCCACAAGCCATAGATGATCGTTTCGTCCTAATATGGGACTCCTCGGTGGTGTGCGTTCGGGGATCGGACCCAGGACCCTCAATCTATTAGGTGAGCGCTTGAAACCTCGACTGCTGAACTGACATAAAAAAGTGGTCATATCTAGCTTCAATCAATTCGCTATATTGCTCGACTATTTGCAATTGCATTAGGTGGATAAACTTTCTCATACTCAGTATGGCTAAACGTCAATGGTCTAACTAAGGTAATTTAATGATTTAAATCCATATAAACCCTATGAATTACACAACACCCCATGCTGCTAATAACTATTTAGTTTAGGAATTTAAGTTACACTTGTTAAACTTCCACTCACTAAATTCAGTTTTAGTATCCACATTATATCTCTACGTATCACACAGCAAGTGTGACCCAAAGGTGTAAACATGAACATACACTTGAATGGACTCTTTTTTTAGTTTTTTTCTAGATGCATATCATATATTACTACAGATTCTACTTGTATTTATATGAAATAGTTATTGAACCATAATAAGAAATTCATATATTAAGTTATTGTGAATTTTATCAAAAGTCATTTTTTTACTTTTTCGACTAAATTGCAGTTTAGAAAAGTTACTCAGTATCATAGTCATCTTAATCTCAATTCAAGTTGATCCAGAGAGAATTAATTCTTATTCCACTGTTACCACATTCTGACCACTTAACAGAGAAATTTTATCTTAAAAATCAGTGTTTATTAGTCAGATGATACTAGGGAGAAAAAAATTAGTACCAACAATTGAAATTACAGGTCTCAGGTATCTCTGAAAGAAAAAGATTTTCAATGTATTTAATCATGACTTATTAATAATCCGTTAGAACAACAAAATCAGAACAAAGTTTACTTGCTTTTTTGTAAATATCCTGTTTTAGAAGATTAAGAAAACTTGTTTGGTAAGTATAAAATTATTCAATATTTACAACTTATATCCCCATTTAACAAGTAATTATCTGGATTCTGAGCTTATTTGGAAAAAGACATAGCAACCGACATCTTGTAAGGAAATCATATCCTCTTTATTGGCAAAAAGCACTGAAATTGGAATGAATAGTTTCGAATTGTTAATTTTATCCTATACTCTATTACTATGAGTTTGATTTGATACCTCATTGTATGAAAGATTACTTTTGTGGTTAAAACTTTCTAGCTTTCAGTATAAACGGTATATTTCTACACTAATACTCAGGCTAAACAGTGTATTTATTTAGAAGTTTTCGCTGAAGTTGTACTATTTATCAACATTTACAGAATATTCTAGTCTTTTTCCAACATTTTTTATTATCGTCTGTTCATTTTTAACAGTTCGTCAAATCAAAATGCATAAAACGAAATTTATTTACTGAGAGACAGTCGTTGATTGTAAAATTAACAAACCGAGATCACAAAAGTGTATTAAAAAAGGAATTCTACATTATTAAGTGAATGTCTACATGTCAGAGTTATTTAACATGTTCATTTCACTGAAACCATCAAACTTAAAAATAGTTCATAATATTTATGATCTTTCTTCACATATCATACGTATATAAATTTACTTAAAATATATTATCACCTTTCATTAATGTAAAACATAAATTTCGGGTTTAGAGTAGAAATAGATAGTTAAAAACAATATAAGGTGGTTGGAGACAGTCAACAAGAAACCCTTGACCTGTACTTTGGCTATTTGGAACTCGTCAGTAAAGTGTACCTATAATCTTAAGGGGTCTAATGTACCCTGGTAGATTTGATCCTGTGTCATTCAGCTTCACAGCCAGAGACGTTACCACTGAACTATTCTGACCATAATAAGTGGTTTAGTGAAATCAAACAAACAAAACAAAGTTAAATGTTGTGTCTTCTGAGATGGTGGAGAAGATTTGTAGCTCAGGTGGGTGATTTTGATGTGTGTATTCTGGATCTAATGAAAATGGAAAGATCTAATGCCTATCCTAATGTAAGTGGTTGGAAATGGTTGATAGGGAACTCTGAACTTAAGTTCAACGCTAGTCAACAGTCGTCAGCAATGTAATTCTCTTGAAAAGACTGACACTTATAGTGAGACCTTAACCCGGACCACTTTGTAACTCAGTCATAAATGTTATCATTGAGCTAATTAAATAGAAACTGACTTCCTCCAGGATTGAGATATTTACACTAATTTATTACTAATTATTAGATATTATATCGCATTTGTTTAGACCTGTAATGATAATCAAAATCCTATCGATCAGGTTATCCCAATGTGACATACCAAAATGGCAAGTTATCAAAAATGTGAAGAATTTACATTGAAACTTAAATTACAATTTTTATAACTGTTATGTCTTCTTGAATTTACTTAGTATTATTTGTTTGAATCTGCCCATCGATGCTTAGAACTGCAATTGGTCAGTCTCTTATTAGCATATGTGCATACTTTGCGTATTGCCTCTATATTGCCTTAATTCACAAGCATTATAATCAAAGATGCAGGTACATCCGGCTGAGGAGTCCCAAATAGGACGAAACGCGCGTCCTGGATTCCACTGCTAGCCACTATCCATCTTTGTTATGTCTTCTTCTTATGTTATTTTCAACTGCATGAAATATATTCATTATGATAGAGTACAAAAGCAAATTAATTTTAACTCATTTTAGCGCTTTTAAAAAAATATCAGTGAAGTAACACAATCCATAGATGAAGTTTAATTTTATGCTTCACACATCGAACAATTTGATTAATTTTTTTGCTCAGTCTGTCTAAAAATATGATAATTCAACTATTCTTTCCACATATAACATGAGATTACTAAAACTTTAACGAATTGAGAATGAAATGTCAAACTCGAATATAAGCTATACATTCTCATTTCGTGTAATAAGAATACTTTTATTGTCACTAATTTTTCTTTTATTCAAACGAATAACTAACTGGTTATTTGAACTATAGTTTATGTTTTGTACTGTAGTATTATGAATTCGTATTCTCAATAACAGAAGAGACGTTCACATTAATTAACCACCAAGTAGTGACTGTAGTTAAGTTTTTCAAACCACAGTATTGGCCATTTGGGTTGTTTGTACTAAAGTAAATGTTCTCACATCACCTGAAGTATGTTTTGATTAGGTAGGGTAGTTGGTATTCTGGTGGAAATCCTGGACCATAGATCTCAGCTTTACAGGAGGTCAGTCGCTGCCCACATAGCTCAGTGGTAATGTCTTTGATTATGAGGCCGGATAACTGAGGTTCAGTTTCCTCGAAATCGGATGTACGCCTTAGTGAAGAGTGTCATCTATCAC